CTGATGATGGTGGCAGCAGGGACGTCTTAAACGTCGGTAAACTTCTATACCAGACTGCACGGCCCAACAACCCAGAAGACAGCCATAATGCAACGGAATAATCGGTACACCCTGAGGGTGATTATCAGTTTTGAAGTCTGAACATCTGCGTGTTAGACGCCTAAAATGACACCCTGTGAATATAATTCGGTTTCGCACATGAACACCGACCCCTGAATTTATGGCTGCACGCTTTATAAAGTGTCTGGAGCGTGGAGTAAAATGTATTTATGCGTACGCAACTAGTCTTCATGTGGCCATTTTTTTATTATTTTTTTGGCAAAATACGTACTTACGATCTTATCAGGATCTTTGCCAACAAAGATAACGAAACCTGTTATTTTGTTACGATGAACAACATCTTAGGCACAGATCAGCAAAAATGAAAAAAAAAACCTTATATGCCAACATCAGCGCCTTCGTATAAATGACAAACTAAAAACATATGCAGATAATCAGATTAAAAATATGTACGCGTTAACTTCTTCATAATAAAGTCTGGGAAACACTGAATTGTCTTCTGTGTCCTTCCTGCTACATTGTGCCGTGTTTCTCTGTGCTCAACAGACTACCACGAGGATGAACGATCTCTTGTTCGCCAGGTCATGTGACAGAGACCATTCTGGAAATGTCATGCAATGCGGTAAATTAAGTAAGATGATATATTTGCGTCATATTGTGAAATTTAATTAATTATTCGGTTTTTGTCCGTCTAATCACAATTCATATTTAAAAATTTACAATTAAGATAATTAAAATATCATTTTTACACTTTAACTTTTACACCTGAAGATGGTTTATATAGGAACCGAAACATGTTGTAAAAAAGATGTTCCAATTGTAAATCGATTGTTCGATGAGGAACAAAAAAATGATATTTTAATTATCTTAATTATAAATTTTTAAATATGAATTGTGATTAGACGGACAAAAACCGAATAATTAGGTAAAATTAAATGTTGAAGTTGCAGGAGCAATCTGAACTATCTGTTGTAACAAAACTCGTATGGAAGTTTATCCTGAGCCAGCTTAATCCGGTTCGTACTCTTAAGACCCATTTCCATGAGGCCCGTCCTTGTTTCCGCCTTTCATCTTCTGCATTCAACAAATATTAGAGAAAAAGTGGGAGTTCTCCAACTATTTGTGGACTTTAGAAAGGCACGTGAGTCAGAAGAGAGGTTATGTGTGGCATTTTGATTTGAGTTTGGAATGCCAAAGAAACTTGTTAGGTTAATTCAGATGTGTAGAGTTCGTGTAGGCAACCTTCTGTCGTATCCCTTCCCAGTGCACAATGGCCTGAAACAGGGGGATGCTTTATTTCCAGTGCTTTTTAATGTTGCTCTAGAAAATTACATCAGGAAGGGCTCGAATTGAATGGGTTCAATTCTTGAAGGCCATCTTATCTCTGCGTGGCACTTCGTTGCAGGCTAATGCAGAAGAGTTTTCGTAGTGCAAACATCAGTGATCTCCTCTTACAAATTTCGAAGGGGAATATCTTCACTCCATGTTCTTTGCCTTTCAGAAGCTTTGTCATAGACGGCGTTTGTTTTTGTCGTCATACCTGAACAGCGCATGTGCACGACGTTACATCAGGAAGCTTATAAGCAGCGTCTTCACGGATGAAACAATTCTGTGTAGTTTATCAAGGCAAAATCTCAGTGAAACTTCTCATGTTGTGTTTTTTATTCTTGTCATCACAGCGTTGCAACATCTCCAGGTATAAATAACACCTGGATAGAACGAGGGAGAATTTAAATTTTGTTGTGGGTTATAACTCAAAATTTATGTAAACTATTGCAGGAATACGGATGTTGACAAACTGAGTCCTTATTTTGACTCAGAATGTGATATCAGCAGTTATAGGAATGTCTGTAACATTGTTGAAGAATTCGTGAATTAAAGAAAGCGATTATTCTGGTTAAGTGCGCGTAGGAAAAATAGTCCCATAATTTACAAAATGGCCGTCATCTGTGTATCTTGGCACTAACTTGAATGTTAGTAATTATTTCCACGCGGATTGAACATTCATATTCTTTGCTGGATGTTGTCTGAGCCCAGTAAGTGACGTCATTTAGAACAAAGTCTTTACAGAAATGCCAGTGCGATCTTATACAATCAACGACATCTTATTCAGTGTGACGACGTAATTGTTCATTTCCTTCTGTACGATATGAAACACAGGGAAATAAAGAATTAACATAATCAAAAATGGATTTTAATTGAAAAGAATCTGCCTTTTTTTAGGGCTTATATAGGCCGATATGTTTAAGATTGGTATGTAATGATATTTATATTTATTTGAATTTGAAGTACGTGATACGTACTACATAGTTTATTTATGTGGTTTCGTTTTGAAAACACTGGTTATAATTGTTGCAAAGGTTGTCAGAACTGCTGACATTTCAACTTCTTAACAGTGATACAGTTTGCTCTTCATATGATGAACTATTTTAGACAAATTCTTTTTATTATTAGAAATTAATGCAATGTAATTTGTTTCCTATAATGTCGTCATTGATTTTCAAGGCACAGAGAACATTTTTACTGGAATCGAACGCAGGGCTGACATTTTGAGTCGTGGCCTTGGTTTCTGCTGTCTCGTTGTCGAGGAAAACTATTTTGGTCTTACGTAGACCATCGTCACAAGGACTCGAACCCAGGCCATTGTTCAGAGTTTTGATGTTTCTTAAATTGAATCCTTCTTTCAGGGTTTACGCACCCCAAGTTTGCAGCGAATCTGTGAGTTATAAGTGAATATACACAGAAATGCTTCCTGAAGAAGTCTGACTCTTCTAATACCGAAACCTCTCACTCAGAATGATCTCAAAGCCTCTTTCATTCACCTCCCATATCTTCAGTCTTTCAAATGGACGTTTTCGAAGCGAATTTGTGTACAAATTTCTTGTCCAACCCTTCTTAAATTTTTTCAACATTTTCTGCAGTGAAGGATTGTACTGAACTCTTACTGAAAGAAAACGATCAGGGCGTGGCAATGTTGCGACAATTACATTTTTGAAACTGAACATCAACGAGGAGAATTAATGAAGGTAGCGGTTTGTGTGTTTATCAGACTGTACGCAGGTAATTTATAGTGACGATAATCTCGACAGTAACTGTAACAGTCCGCCGATTATCGCGGATTAAAATCTGGCAAATTTTACACATCCAGCGCTTTGCACGGCTTTATCTGCTGTGAATTTTAATGCCCCGTACGTGGGAATGTAAAATTGTAACGCATTCAGGTCCCATGTATCAAGCAGCGTCCATTTAGAACATCGTGGAACTACAGCGGTGCATTGTTTCAGAACGGTAACTATCAGAGAGAATCCAGCTTAAAAAAGGAACCAACTTTACAGGGGTGTCCAGTGCCTTAACATCATTTCGTATCTTACGTGTTTGAAGGAATTAGTATTATTATTATTTAGTGTTCTGTGTGACGCCAGGTCCATATGAACAGGATCCTTCCGTCCTTTTCTCGGACTGGGACCTGTTCATATACGTTCTTGGCAGATGATCCAGAAGTGGTTTGCCATTGCCTTCTTCTGTGTGTGAATGGAGTAATTGTTGGGATGCCACGGAGGAAAACTCCGTGTTGCCTAGACCACGGCCTTGCCCAACACAAGTTATAAATTCGGGCACCGCCGGGAATCGAACCCGAGACCCCAGGATTACAAGGCCAGCGTTCTAACCGCTAGACCACCGTGGCGGTCATTTGAAGGAATTACGGGCATATAATTACGAAATTGTACTTTAGAACGGAGTTCTTGAAACAGATACATTGTCTCTCTTTTTTCAATATGGACGTTCTTAAAATGTCCCTATTAAGAAACAGCTTTCTCATAAGCGATGAATAGAAAATTGACTTTTAACACTGTAATCGAAGCATTTGCCAGGGAGCAGCTTATAAAAATCCTTATGACATTGCTCTGGACACACTTCAGTAAGAAATCAACTGAACGTAATTTGATATGAGTCACCTCGCTGGACTAGTGACGTAGAATTATGGCGAGACAGCCTGGAAGTTTCTGAGAAGGTACAGTATCAACATTCACTTGGAGGCACTGAGGGAAACCATGAAACTTCATTCCGTGGTTGTAATTCTAACTTTGAAACTTCTGAATTAAAGACAGCAGCGAAGAACACAAACAACTAGGGCCTGAGAGAGAGTTTCTGAGCGGCGACAAGTCGACTCTGAGATAATCGTTATCGAAGCTTTCCAACCACTCGATTGTGATCGCAGCGCAATCGATTGGTCGATTGGAAGTTGGCGTGTACACCGCGAGGTTAAAGCGGTCAGTCCCGAATGTGACTTTGGACCAGAGCCAACAGTTTTAGCCATGTTAACAGATTTAAAAACTTTTAAAAACGAAAAATAATAGTCTTCTGTCTTATTTTGTGGTTCAGTGTTACAGCAAACCTGTCAGATAAAATGCATCGTTAGCTTTATTACGCTCGTATCCAAACTTAACTGACGATAACGCCTGATTGTATGCAACTGACTAACGATGCATTTTTTTTTCTGATCTGTTCCGCTGTAAAAGTTTCTGAAGGTGTTTGATGGGCTAACTAGGCTGGCACAGTTGACACCCCTGCTTTGGACGTGTTTGTACACTCGCTCTTTTGAAACCAGAAGCCATGAAAACGTGCGCAGAAGACACTTTGTATATAGGGCAGGTAATGGATGCGAGATGAATTCGCCGGTGCTGATTGGTGAATTTCATTGACCAATGAGGAAAGAGGATATTGACTTGCGATTCAAAAATGCGCGTATGATGATTAATTAACATTCAAGTCCATTTTGTATGAAGGTGGCAGTGTTCTGGGTTGTTACGTAGTGTAGTCTGGTAGAAGTTTCGGAGGTCCATTCTGCTTCCATCATCAGGGCGATGAGAAGACAGCCATCTTCAAACTCACCACCCGTGAAAACCTCAAATCCTACGTATCTATTTTGTGTGTTGCAGGTATACGAAGACGGTGGTTGCAGCCACTGTGAACGCGCAGAAGTACAACCCTGAGTTGATCTGGACCCAAAGAAGTCCCGATCCCAGGATCGCTCAGCTCAGTGACAAACTCAGGCATATCAGACAGGTGCGAGCGGCCAGGTCTTGATTACGTTTTTAATTAGTTCTCGCTTTACTTATCAACATCATGTATGAAAAATCCACTGCAAGACTCGGCATTTGTGACACGACAACGCACGCCCACGTCAGTCTGCAACAAGTACAGTGCGTAGTATTACTCTAAAATGTTTCTTTTCATCACTTTATTCAGAAACTGAAACTCATATTCTCCGCTATCAAATGATCACAAGAATACAAAGCGACCTCAGCTGTGAAATGTCACTCAGAAACAGTGACGAATCCGAAAAAGTATTATTTGCGTCATCTCCGCTACTAACCGGTAACATAGAACTTCCGGTTTAACTGCCAACCTTACCCAACTTATTCTTTCTGTTAGCTAAAGTTCTGAGAACGATTCATGTCACTGATTAAACAAACTCTGATGATGGAGACAGAGAGTATCCAAAATACTGGATTTTATCTACGTACTTCCGTGCCTGATCACTTCATATCTCACACGTAACGCGTACTTCCGTGCCTGATCACTTCATATCTTACACGTAACGCGTTATTTAAAAAAAAAATGTATAACGTACGCCAGTGATGATATTTTATTTTAAGACTTTAAGTTACATTAAGAAGACAAAATATGTTTAATAGGAAAGTAGGCGTTAGGGGTTCTACATGGAAGGGTGTCATTTGAAATTCGCTTTCACAGAGTAATTTAAACTCTCGCCAGATGAAAATCTCCGTGATCTAAGTCAAAGTGACCTTTTTTTTTTTTTCAAAGGTGGTGCTGAGTCAGCTGACGTTGGCACCGGAGTCAGATTCGTACCTTCAGGATGAGGAGGGAAGCGGAAGTGGACATCCACCAGTGTCGCAGTGGATCGATGATGGGGAACCAGAAGACCCCAACTGGCCTTATGAAGGATCAGCATCAGGAGATAATCCATTACCACCAGGTAGTACAGCTCTAACGGCCTTGCTCCAGTTGGCAGTACTGACAGATCAGCTGATCTAAAACCCGAACATGAGCTCATGACGGAAACTTCTCCTTTTGTGACTTTTGAGTTGGATGTCAGAAAGGGCTGACCTAACCTAACCAAACCTAACCTAAACTAAACTAACCTAACCAAACATAACCTAACCTAATTCACATTTTGTATAAGTAAGAAACAAAAATTCTCGTAAAATACGTTTTCTTTTGCAAATGAAAATTAGTTTCTATGGTCAGATTTGAACATGGGTCCTTTAAATTATAATGCCAACAATCATGAAAAAAAAAAGGTGCTTCCGTCAAATTTCTAGCCTTGCCGGTGCAGCACAAATAATGTTTCAGTCAGCAAACATTACAAAGCGTAATTAGACTTTTTTTTTTTGAATATTACAATCCATTTCCAGTTCGTCTTCGTATGACGTCCACATGGAAATTTTTAAACATGTACTTGAATAATAAACAACTGCTTGCTTAAAATGTATTTCTGTGTGAAGGCATAAACAATTTTCTGCCGCCGTGATTCAGACGTACATATTCGCCTTTTGCATCAGTTCCAGTTTTGGACTTTGGAATTTTGTGCTTTAATGCAACTGTGTGGCTTTCTGTGGTGCAGAAATCAGAAACTCGTCATCTGCTTGGACATCACAATAATCATCTAATTTTTATTCTTTACAGGAGGAGATGAGAAAAAGCCAAAGTCAGGATCTTACGACCCATCAGTTAACGGCAACAGTATTCTCGGTGGCTCCGCACCGCCTACTCATGCTGCCGCCACAAAACCCACCAGACACTCGTGCGCTGTGCTCGTCACAGCTGTGCTCTGCAGGATCAGTCTTGTATTACTGAACGGATAAAGCTGTCGCCTCCATCAGGCGCCTACCACGTTTTGTACTCACGAGGAGAAGGAAAAGAAGAATAAGAAGCTGAAGGAAAGGCTTATAACGTATAAAGCGTTAAAAATAAAATTGTAACAGAAATTAAATATCTATTATTATAATTTAAAAAAATTTAAGTCGTGGCAGATTGGTTCAGTTCTAGTTCATCTCTTCATTAACCTATTGGACAGGAAGGAGTTCATGCAATCAGATGTTTAGGTCGAGTGCGAGTGAAGTGAATGGAAGGGCGAGATGCACGTGTTTTAATTTTGTGGCCTGATCATCAAAATGTTTGGCCAGGCTCAGTAGTTTGCATATGCTCCGAGGTGACACTTTCGTGGAGGTCGTAGCGGAGTTATCTTTCGAGAAGGTGTCGCGCACTCACGAGACGTTATTTCTTCCGTTCTTCTTGCGAGAGTATAAAGAAACGAGCATCTGTATGGCTGTGAAGGATCTGTACACAGTTGCTGTTTTGACAGCTGCTGTAGAACAAACATTTTGTTCTGATTTGTAGACGAGCGTGATGCCTTTCAAAGATAACTCGCGTCAATAAAATTCTTAATGTTACTGTATCTTAGTTTTTTTTGTTACGATACAGCAACATAATTTTGAATGTTTCTTTTAAGAAGGATTCAGTTGCTTCATTCATTGGCTGACGAAATATGGTTTCCGCTTATTTGCTGTGAATTTATAAAATAGTCTGTGGGTAGAAAGAAACATTGGGGTTTTTTCTCCATTTCACCATTGTGTAATGCTTCCTCATGTTTGAAACACGTAACATGAGTTTGCAGAGCAAGATGGGGTGTTCCTAATAAATTTCTTTTTGCAGTGTACTGGAATGGTCCCTGCTGTGTCATTCATCGTGGATGAAACAGTTTGCGTCAGTGACCAGCTCCATTCCGGGCCTTCGCGCTAATTTACGTCCTATAAAGGCTCGACTTTCTTGACAGATTCTTTCGCGTCTCGCACGGCTTCCTGAGGAACATTGGCTTTACTCTGATGATGCTCGGTATAAAGAATTTTACTTTAGTAAATATCTCAAATACAGGAATTAACAGAAATAATTTTTTTATCTTGTAGTCTGAGGCAGGTAAATTTAATTGGGGTTGGCACAACAAAAACATTGTTTTTTAAGTTGTACATGAATCAGAAAACAGAAGGAAGTCACTTTTTTTTAAAAAAAAATAACATTATAGATTGCTGTCTTCTGGGTTATTGCCCCATGTATTCTGGTAATCTACCAGAAAGTGAAGTTTCCGTAGTGTTTTTCGTATACCAGTATGCCTTAAAACATCGACACGGGCAATAGTACGACGTTGAAAGCGGTGCCATTCACCTCAACATCAATCCTCCTGTCGATGCAACAGACACGAGCACTGACGTCACGTTACTTCTGTAATTAAACTTTTTTATTCTGTTTCTGAATAAATTTTAAAATCTTTTTCGTAATTTCGATAGCTCAGTAATATGGACTGAAAGACCAGGGTTTTGAATCCTGACAGGAGCATATTCTTCTCTTTGCCATGTCCAGACCAGCTCTAGGACCCGCAAGGCACTTTCCTCGTAGGGTGGGAGGGTACGTGGAGCGTGAAGCTGACCACAACCCGCAGTCGCAGTCATATGTTGTCAGTGTGCCAAACAAACAGCACGAACTACAGAAATATCAGTCCTGTTCGGTTTTTGTTAAATTACGATGGTCACCTGAAAGTAAATTGCAACTCTGATAAGGGAGTGGCCAAATAATGGGTGATGACATGATTTTTAGCGGGCTTATTTTGTTATCAAAATCATCGGTGTTCAGTTTTACTTCAGCATTCCCAACACGCGTTGAAGGCGTCTTAATGAATTTTTAAGAAAGTTTCACAAGTCTTGAATAATAGCGCACAAAACATAATTTTGTCAATTAGTGCGGTGATAATGAGATTAATAATGACGATTTCTTGAGGCTTGATCCGTATAAAATGATTTTTTGCTCAGATTTTCATAAAGGTCCCTGGTTTATTTTTAATACTACCGCTAACTAGGCCGAAGAGTGAGTCGTGGATTCAGGACTTGACTCCGCAGTGTGCAGCGCGGCAAAGAGAAAAGTACTTTTATTGAGGTTTGATATTAAAATGATGTGTAGGTCATGGTATTATCTGTTGATTTCCAATGTTTTTATTGTGTGGTTAGTGATATTTCAGTAAATGCCAGTGGTCCCAAGAAGTGTTACTACTAAGTGAAGACAGGTATTTTTGCAGCCATTCTGTTTCTAAGATTAACTGCTGCTTAGTTAATGAAATAAAAATAATATTGAAATTTGTGTAATCATTTCCTCACATATAACACGCAGAATGGTATTTTTGTGACCTGTCTGTAATTCCATATTGCTTATTGATTTCTCAGACCGTACATCATTTTATCGCCAAATTAGATGCTACAGTCTTTCATTACGTAACCTGCCTTCACTGTACAGTTCGTTTAGGAAGCACCAAGACCGTCAGCTACTGTAGTACTGAGTGAGCCTTCATAATAATATTTGGGTCAGATAACTTTCATTTGAAACGTGTTGACACGGCAACGCCAAAAATCATTCTTCAGAATCTCTCCTGGTTTCCCTTCCGTCTGTTTATATTAATTTAGAATTTTTGTTAAAGTAGAGAGTGAAACGTCTGTGATTAATTTTTTTTTTTTGTAGTGAGAGTTGGAGACGAGGAAGTTAGAATGGTGAAGTGTTGAAAGAGTGGCAGCATTGTGTGTGTTTTATTTATGTTATATCTCACTGCTTTTACCCATATAAGTGCTTGCAAGACCTTCATTATTCTGGTATAGGAAATGCCATGGTAGTTAAATTAATATAAAGTATTTAAAGAAATAATATAAAATGTTATATTTTATGAGAGGAAAAGGATAAAGTAACTCGCTCATATGCGCTAACAACAAATTGAATACATTGATCATATTATCAGCAAGAGAAACAATGTATATGTTTGTTTTCTTATACCCCACACCAAATACCTTGACGATAAAATAATAGCGACTATATTAAATACAATCTCAGAAAATAATTTTATAGTACAGGAAAAGAAAATAATATGTAAAGATCTGCGAAGTGTGTTGTTGAAATCTTTCGGGCCTGTGATAACTAAGGAGGTAAGAGAGACAATCGAGGGAAATGTAAATTAGGCAATATATTACGTGTTTGTTATTGTGCCATATATGGTATAATTAGAAGAATGCCAACAATAATTACTCAGTTATTATATCATTTATATGTGATAATAATTTACAATCTACAAGGAATTAATTTCATTTTGTAAGTATGGGTGTGTACATTTATGTAATGTGACATTTTCTTTGGCTGCATCTCCATTTTAAAGTTAAGGATACTGAAGTTATTATTCGTGTAAAAATTGACTATTCAAGTTGTGATGTTCCTTGTTTTTTAAAACTTATAAGGTGTTACTAAAGATGTGTATAATTGTTCCAATCTCTAGTAGAGATTAGGATACATGGCCAAACACTTGTAACTTAAAGTAATAGAAAACAAATTTAAGTATCGTTAAAAATGTTCATTGTAAAATAATGTTCTTTCTTTCATTATATGGAATAATAGTCATGGTTACAAATGGTTTGAAATTTAATGTGCAGTTTTAACTGTGTTTATGTTTCTGAGTGTTTCTTGTTCAACCACGAACAAGAAGGATTTTCTGTTTCTTAAAAATAATGGCTCTGTGTATGTATTATAGCATTAATGATTGCCATAGACTTTAATATTAACCCTTATGCCTCATGAAGACAGGGGCTAATGGCCAACGTTGTCTGTGCACAGCTGTTTCTTACTGCCGTGTTCTTTGGGTGGCTTAGCTGGTGTTATAGTAACGACAGTGAATATCTGTAATGCAGCTCAATTTTAATCTTCTCTTCTGACATCCGTAGACTTCCTCCTTTGCTATTTATGCATTCACAATCAGTGGTTTTAATATGGGTATTAGCTGCCTCGAAACAGAAGGAACGGTCTGTAATGCTCACAATATAGAAGCAAGGGAAGCCACTAAAATCCTGCAGCATTAATCTATGTTATTCTATTGCTAGTGTTTTGTTTCTCATTTTTCAAATTCACCATAGGCAAAGGGTTAAAAAAAAACTATATTATTATAAAATGGCTTCCAAATGTTTTGCTTCATTTATATGCTCTGAAGAAGATTACTAGTCTTTAGCATTAATTAATAAATGATGTTAATGAAGACAGCATTTTTGCAAGGCTATTTTGCAGTAATTTTTTAGTTTCGTAACAGTGGATCAGTTGTTTTTTTTAATTTAAAAACTGTTTGTGAATTACAAATGACAGGCAGTCCTTTTCCCATTAATCAATTTAAAAACTCATTGTTTATAGTACAGATTAAAAGAAATTCAGCCTTTTTAAAACACGTATTAAAATTACTTATTTCAACCCTGATCCTTTCCTAAGATTATGCTTATTATATTATTTTTAATTAAGCCTTTACGATGAGGCGAGATGGTATGATCATTGCACGCTGCATATTTTATAATTTGTACAGACTTTTCATCTCATCGCTCTTCGGTAGTGGTATTACAATCTGTTGTGATGTGTTGCGCAGATGATGAGCAGTGTGTTTTGCTAGGCACTGCAGCAAAAAGGTGCTTTTAGCATGTATCACCCATCACCAAGTTCAAAAGTGATATCGCTATAGTTCACACTGTAATGCATTCTGTTGGTTCCTTCAGCGTGAACACTGCCTGAATCTCACTATTTGCCTATGTAAAGCAAAGTAGCGCATGGTAACAGTTCCCTTGTCTGAACCCTGGAGGGTAGAAACTTTTTTAATGTATAGTGTGGACTTTTGACCAGTTGATTATCCTCAAACACCATATCCAAAACTCATTTGTCCTTCATCAACACCTTGCCACTGTCTCCTTTGACATGAGGAAGGTGTGTGACACCACGTGGAGATACAGCATCCTCAGAACTCTTCACGAGTGGAATCTTGGGATTAGCAGTCACTGTTTTGCTTCAAACTTCCTTCAGGAACATTATTTCCATGTCCATCTCAGCAGTTCTTATCTGTGCATTATCCCCAAAGAAATGGAAGACCAAAAGGATATATTTTAAGTGTAAACATCTTCTCTGTTATCTTCAGTATGATTGCAAATGCTGGTCCATCTGTCTGTTGAAAGCGTCACCATTTTATAGAGGTCTGGAGCTCGGATACAACTGATCATTGATTACAGATCACTTTATATTGTATGTTGCGCTGGACCCCGGAGAATGGATTTTCCTTTTTGGTGGCTAAGACCCAGTGTGCACATTTTACATATTTGTGGTGTTCACATCAAGTTCCTGGGTCTTCTCTATGACAGCAAGCTCTTGTGAGAACTTCTCGTGGGTGGCTCACGGCCGAACGCAAACAGTCGGTGAATTCATTTTGTCACAGGATCAGACGCACTGAGATTCTGTATGTGGAGTCTGGAGAATCTCCTGTTTCATTACACAGCAATATTCTCTGCTGTGGTGCAGTATTCCACCGAGAACTCTGTAACAGCCTCTTAACCTACAGTTGTGTGTTTTTTCCAGCATCGTCAACAGGTCAGTGTTTGTTTGCTGTCTTTGACTCATCAGACACCCGAGAGATGTGACATCTGCCCACATGTACCACTGATGTATCAGTGATTTATACTGGCACGTCAATGAGTAGAGCTCTCGTGTGAGGGCCATGTTTTTTCCTCACCTCCACAGTTTGAGAACATTTAATACTGCTGAAATGTTTTCATCGTTTTAAGCTTTCCCGTTCCTTCAGCACCACTGGAGTAAATATTGTCTCCTTTGCGTGGACTCTCTGAAAATTCTGTGCGGTTGCTCTCCATACCTTCCCATTGTCTTTGACATAATGTGTCACATTTTTAATCTCCATGAGGCAGGTAAGTCTGCTGTATTTTGTTGGGTACCTGGCCATACAGGCAGACCCAGCAACGAGGCTGCCAGTGTGGCCATGCTAAAGCAGCTGCTTTAACATGAGCCCCCCAGCATCTGATGGAGTTCTGTACAGCGATGTTCATGCCTTCCTTCACTACAGTACTGAATCCTTGTGGCAATACAAATGGACCAGTAATCAGAGCAACAAATCGCAAGTGGCAAAATCATCCGTGCAGTTGCGCCATCCCACCCTCAGTCCAATTGGGAAGGACTGGCCATACTCGCTGAACAAATATTTATTGCGTGGGGGACTGACACCTGTTTGTCATATGAGCCGTGGGCCTTTAAACTTTGCACATTCTAGTTATATGTCTGTTACAACAAGAACCCTGATAGTGGAGGCAGTAAGCGCATCTGAAATGTCAGTACCGGAGTCCACAATGAAATGTCCCAGAAGATGGCCATCTTCATACTCGTCACTGTGAGAACCTGAAATCTCATGAATTTCACCTTTGTTTTCCATCGTGGCAGGATAAGGATGAATTTTAACAGGTTAGCAGAGTTTATTTTCTGGAACAAAATTTATAATCAAAGATGCTGACACACCTTTTTCCTAACCACCAAATAGCACGTAACTTAATCTAAATAGATAAATGTAGATTTATTCTAACCATAGGCACCTTCAATTTGAATGTAACGTGCACTCATTACAGCTGCCAGGCTGTGAAGACAATTGTATTTATTGGGAGGAAGTACTGACCAGTGTCTGAGTTCAAGTTGGAATTCTGCATTACATCAAGTGGAGTGTAGTTACCATTCTTAACTTCATATTCAGAATATATCTTTATTTTCCTTTACTCCTTTGTGTGATCAGGGCTGTAATTAAACCAGAACAGCGCCTTGATGCTTAATTCAGTGCTGGGGAGCTTCAACGCCAGTTTTTATAATGACAGTGATGTGAAACTTAGGCAATGTAATTGAAAGGCAAAGTTACTATGATGAGTAACATATTTATCCTACCATTTGTTTGAAGATCCTGAAGAAAAACCTGGAAGTAAGTGTTCTATCACAAACCTAAAATTTTTAGTGAATATTTAATTTCATACAAAATGAAACAAAGAGACTCAGTTGAAGAAACACTACTTCTAACATTAATAATTTGTTGAAGCCTAAAACTTAAGATATATGAAGGAAGTACTGGGTTCACCCCATATTAAGTAGAAGACTGCACAAGGGCCTATTCCATGCACTGTATGATGTGGCAAGATTAATATTTTTTTAATTTTCATATGTTGAAGAAATCTTTTGAGGAATTGCTGGCTATTCTGAACAACATTTCTGGAACAAACACCGTTTATGAGGAAATATCTTCCGGCAGAAGAAAAACTAGTACTGATGTAGGGGTAAGAAAATAAATTGTATAAGTGTGTAAATTACATGGCATGGGTTTACAGTTGTCTTGTATCCTAAGATAAATCAAATAAAGAACAATCTGATGAAGCAGCACTGTTGTGAGAGGTTTAAGATGGCAGTAAGTTAATGGTGAAACACTTCATAATTATAGATGATGCAATGCTGATGGAACACTCAATGTTAGGTTAACCTAGAGTTTAAGTTTGAGTGTTTGACTGAAATGAGAGTTCATTTGTGGAACGTCTGTCATGTGTTAATAATATTTTTCAGACGAGTGAACAAGAGGTAGACTGAAACAGTGAGTGCGCCTGTGGTGGAACATGAGCAAAACTAGAAGCAGCAGGTTGTTGTAACCTAGCTGTTTTAAAGACATTAATTACCTTCCAATTGAACTGGGAACAACCTCTTTTCCGCCAATCTCACCTTGTAGGGTTACCCATAAGAAGTGACGTGCCAATACAGTGACAACTGGTTAGATTGCGGTAAATGTATGTGCGAAGTGTGCTACCACCTTTCGGATGGAATATAAGCACTCGTCATAGAGTATATCCGTAATTGTACAATTCTTTAGGCGATATTTAGCATTAATGTTCCCAAATATATGTGTATATGTATAAGGAAACTATATTCACAAAAATAGGTCATTCGTTGTTTTGTTTATTCTTTTCACTAATTTAGTAGTTTAATGTAACTAAGCTACTTTATTTTCTGCGTCTGGTGTCAGTAAAGTGACGTCACAGTGCAAGCGTTTTGGAGAAGGTGTGGACATGGGAAGATAGTGGATTTTTTAATTGCTTCATCAAATGATGCGTTTTTTATATAGGTAGCGGGGAAGTTTCGGGTTTTCCGGAATCCTGTAGTTTTTCCTAGGTGCTAGTAACTTTTCTCAGTACGGTTTGAGCGGGTTATCGTGCCCCCTGCTCCGGAGTGTTTTGTGTTGAAGAAGATTTCAAGATGGCGGCGCATAATTTGGCCCCTAGTGTAAACTGCTCGTTGGATGACATCGATTTAAACGCTCTAAAGGTGCTTTTAATGTGCTGATATTTATGTAAATGAATATTAGATATTTAAGTAATTGTACTTGATCATGACATGGTCTTCAACTGAATAACGTTTTCGAAATGACGTTCAGGAACGTGGTGTGGGGCACTCTATTTTGTTCACGTTTTTTATGGGAGTGATTACAAGGTTCGAGAGGCGAGAATATTTTTTGAGCAAATCTGATTTAAATATCTCATCTAAGCTGAACACTTTTTGCTTTGTGTGTTTGTTTATCACTAATCACTTGCTTCCGTTTTCAGGATCCGGCAGGCATTTTTGAGCTGATTGAAGTTGTTGGAAATGGGACCTATGGCCAAGTATACAAAGTAAGAAATATAATGTTAATGCTGCTGCTTTGTTTGGTGTTAGTACACCATGTTGAAAGAGAATCTGTGTTTCAGGCTTGTTAAGAAGGTTTTGTATTAGGAATTGAAAGGAAAAAGTAGAAAAAGCTTAAACATAACCTCCAAAGCCCCTTTGTGTGTGTGTTTTTTTAGAATGTTAGTAATAATATGCAAAATGCATAAGTTTCACTGCCTTTGCAGAATAATATGCTCCTGATCTGTCTTGGCCAATTTGTAGCATTAGCTTGTACTTTTCCACTTATTCACATTTTAATGTAAAAGTACAAACTGTTTTTTTGCCTCTGTCTTTTAAAATTATTGAACTTTGGAAGATTTAAGAATACTGTAGGAAAATGAATACAGAAAGACTGCAGAGAAGTAGATTATCAAAGTTAATGTAAACCTATTTACAAAAGAGATAGAGGTTGTCTCAGAAACAGGTAGAAAGACCAACTTTTGGATGAACGTTGATGGGACAGGCTGTATAAGTCTAAATAAAAACTAATTAGTTTGAATACAGAAGACATTATGCCTTTATTGCCAAGTATAAGGACAGGGATGTTTCTTTATAACAGATGCTCAAAGGTTGTTCCTCCATTCTCCACACATGCACGAGCACGACGTACACAAGACAGACGAATTTGTTTGTACACACCAGGGTTTCCTCGAATCATCTGGCATGCATTCTGCACACGTTCCCATTGGCCGTCTTCAATGTTTATGGGTGTTGCATAAATGATGGACTTCTAGTCACCCCACAGATAAAAGTCCAATGGAGTTAGGTCCGGTGACCTCGGTGGCCACCACGCCCAATCCATCGCTGAGGGTACTGTTCATTAAGATGATATCTGACGCGATGGGTGAAGTGTGCTGGGGCTCTGTCGTGCATAAACCACATTTGTCTTCTTGTATTCAGTGGTACATCTTCAAGGAGACGTGGCAAGTGTCTTCTTAAGAATCGCCGATATGAAGGTCCTCTTAGACGTGAAGGAAGCATGTGTGGACCAATAAGCATGTCGCCAAAAATTCCTGCCCAGTCGTTAATTGAAAATCTTTGCTGGAAGCTGGATTCACTTTGATATAAATTCAATTCATTGAAACTTATTTTTGGCTATTATTTTAAAAATGAAACATTTGCGATCCCATGTTCATAGGAACATTTTTTCTTATTTTTGATCCTGGAACACGCACACGAAGTTTGTAAATATACTTCTGACTGACCCTGTTATTTATATATATATATATTTATTTATTTATTTCGAGAAAATGTAATATGTGTTCCGGTTGTGCTAATACTGCTTATGTTATGACAGTGTATGAAGGGAAAAGAATTTTAATCTGTATATACCTACCCCATTATATTGCTTCTTATCTATTCTTGATCTATAATGTCCGCTTTTCTACCCATCTTTTAACACTGAATATCATTGCTGAGTTGTTAGCATTTCTGCATTTTTACTGTTTAAAACATTAATAGCAGTGTTGGGATTTTTAGTAACTTGGCATAAAATAAAGAGTGGATGAACATCGGAAATTTTCCAAACCAAAATGCAGAAATCTCGAGCAGGAAATCTGGGCAGTTTTCATTAAGGAAATTTTATTTTAGGTGGGAGATTGGAGTTGGTGGAACAGATTATGGGTGAAAAGAAAATGTGGTGATAGTTGTTGAAATGGTAATAGTTTCATATTGTCGTTTTTGGGGATGAGATGGTGGTTATTTTAGGTGGGTAAGAAATATTGGAGGAAACGCATTGAATAGTAATTCAGTATTGTATGAGTGAACGTTAAAAATTTTCCTAAACGTCATTAACGGGCTGGTCTTCGAATGGAGAAGTAGATTTTCTTCTAGGTAACAGCTGAATTTTTAAATATTACTTAGTTGAGATTTGACTTGAAAAGGGTCAACTTGAAGTTCGTCTCTTGGTTGACATAAGCTCACTTATTTTGTTTGTCATGATGATCAAACAGCCTTGGACAGACTTGAAACTTGACTCAGACACTGTGGGACAGGAAGTAGGCATGGAATGTTAACCATAATCATACTGGTGACTGCACTAACATTCTCTGGTAAAGATTTTACCTAATTGTTCCATTCTCTTTTTCTACCGAGTGGGTACAACTTTGGATTTTGGAAATATGCTGTGTTGAATGTCGAAGGCTTTCCAATGTTTCACCCAAAATTGCAGAAGCCGTCTTCAGGACGATTGTCTTTGGGTTTGTAGGGAGCTTGATCTGGCATTTGATGGTTGGGCAAACAGAGAAACAATGTCCTGTCCAGTATGGAGTGATGAAAAAAGTTTTGAAGGATAATATGGTTAGGAGAAGAGGTTATGAAGAGCTTCAGTGTCCACATGGTTAAGAAACTCTACTACACAATTTAGTGCGAAAGCAGAACACCTGTTCATGTGTACTGCTGAGGTAAAGGAAGCCCCACCCAGCATTTATGGGACTGCTTAGGCACAGATTTGACTGTGTGATGTATGAATTGTAATCGTGGTTGCAGTGGGTCATCATTTCTTAGAAAGTGACTATTACAAGAGATATGGTGAGCATAGCGTTCCTCTCCGTCGTGCTAGGCAAGCCTTTTCCCCTACAAGGCGTGCAGCTGAATTGCAGCTGTGGTTGAGCCTCTGTTGTCATTTTTGGCTTATGAGTAAATAACATTGATCGTACATTTCTAAAACTGTGAAGCTGTCTCATATCTGCTGAATGACTGCTGTGATGCTAAAAGTGGTCTGTGAATCCGGTTGTCTTTGAGGGGGAATGGTGATGTCATCCTGCAGTTAGAACAACTTTCTTACTCTCAGGGATGCCTTCATTTTGTTCATACGCCATGTACTTCAGTTTCCTGGCTTTGTGAATTATTTCAAGTGTTCGATAACAAAGACTGGAATATCAGATAAATTTCTAGGCGTTTTTGAAAACTTGATGTTATAGAAACTACTTTGTTGATGTATGTATTGAATATTCATAGTTTCAAGTAAATGTTTTGTATGTTCTTTGCAGTGAATAAAGTCTTGAGGTCATGTGTTAATTTTCAGAACTACTCATTGGATTTCAGTGTTTGACACTGGTTTGGGGGGGGGGGGGTCATTTCACGTCATATCAAAACAGAAGTTGACATGACCACTGTGGATTTCAGTGAAATTTTGTAAGCGTACATAGTGTGATGAGTCAGTGATAAATATGAAGTATGTCTTTCATATGCCACTTAATTACAAAGTTATTGCACTTTGAAGTCACATAAGTTTTTATTAAATTTTCTGACATTTTCATTTGTAAAAATACTTGCAACTCTGGTCCTAAATAAGATAGAGGATATTCAAGTGAAAGATCTCAACTGAGTCTTTCACTTGGCGTGCCACTCCATATTTTAGAGCACTTCAACATTTTGACTTTCATCTTGATTTATGAAAAATGTTTTGCCAGATTTATGCAAGTTTTTCCCACAAGACTTGGTGCTTCTTTAAATGTGTTGTTGGAAAATTCCTTGTTGAAACATAAATTGGTTGATGAGATATGTGTTTTTTATAACTGCAGGTGACTTACATGTTTGTAACTCAGATTAAAGATCACACTAAGCTACATGGGTAATACAACATTAACGAGAAAGGTGGAAAAGAAACCTGGCAGGCTAATTAATTGAAATATTTGAATTATTTTTTCATGTAGGGGCCAGTTCCACATCAAATCGACACACACACACACACACAGATTACAGTTTGTATAGTCTCATACCTTGTAAAAAGCTACTTGTGTGAAAGCTAATAAAGAATTGTCAGTACAGTCTTGTGAACACTCAAACATGGCAAGGTATTAGACCAAAACACATTTTCACGCATGCATTGGCATTGGTGTGTGAGGTGCCAAACGTCGTTGAAATAATTGTTTCAATCGTGAGTTATTGAAGATGTGATGTTACATGCAATGTTTCTGTTTCAGGGTAGACACACGAAGACTGGCCAGCTTGCCGCTATTAAGGTTATGGATGTTACAGAGGTTAGTTTATTTCCTATGGCTGGTGGTGTCATCTGCGCTGTAGTGTAATTCTGAAGCTTCCACAGCTTCAGAGTTGTCTTGGTGTTGACTGTGAACTCTTTAGTTAGGAGTGGTTTTTATTTTTTATGCTTACGGTTCACTTGGAATATTATTATTATTTTTTGCAGCACACTAATGAACTAAAATTTATGACAAGAAGACGCCAATATTTAAATAATGTCATTTATTGCATAACAGTATACAATTAGTGCTCGCAGAAAGATGAAGTTCTGAAACGTGTCAGTTTAAGAATGTATTGGTTTACAAATTTCAACTGTTTTTATGAAAGGGCACTACAGTTAACTCAACTTGCGTACACAAATTTGGTGTGTTGGCAGTAGGAAAATTTGCCAGAATTTTGGGATTCCATTTTTCACCATCCATATCGGAGCACTGTTACAGAGTTTTGACTCGAGATCTGGTGGTGGGGGAAGGCAGTTGTGCTGACCAAGGGCTGACTAGTCATTCACGGGTAATCTGTGTGGACTGATGGTTAGCAGACCATCTGAGGCCTTCCTTAAAAAGATGGCCAAGTCAGCGCGAGTGGTCCAACCACTTAGCTACCCTGTCTGAGGTTTTCCTTGCTTTCCTCAGTTGTAAGGCAAATGTCAGCGTATAATTCAAAATGGGCAAGGCCCGCCATCCCCTATCACGGAGGCCCTTAGCCAGAGTAATTCCCCCCCAAGTTTGCAGAGGTTGTCGGCCAAAGTGAAGTCAACCTTTCTGGCTTCAACTCCCAGACATTCATCTAACCAAAATTCTTTTATTAAAGAACTGGTTGCCTGATGGAATCAGCACCCACCAATAGCAGTAGCCTCTAATTTGAACATGCCAACGCCCTCTGCACATCCCCAGTGTTAATACGTAAAGGCACTGTTCACCATTTCCAAGCGTTTCGTATGCCGGAATGGTGTAACCTGGCAACAGGTGGTGTCTTCCTGTTAACGCAAGACTCCACCTTTAGTTGTCTCTCTGGTTGGTCTCTTACTCACTCTATGGTGCAGGATATTTTTTGAAAAGTCGATTGTGTACTCGGCTTGTCAAAGAATAGCCAACTTTCTTTATGGAGCCTGAAGGTTCATCACTGTGTTCCCAAAAGCCTGCAACAGTTACTGGTTCTAATATTTATTGTCTTTAATTTCTGATTCCAAATTTCAAATATGAGTTTATTATATGCTTTAATTAATAAAATATGTCCAGTTACTCATAATATTGTTAACGCTTATTTGAGTTTTAATTTGCATATTTAATTTTTCATAATTTCTCTGTTCAGTGCCGAGTGGGTTCGACACCTGGCTTCCGGTGTTTTAAGAACAAAGAGCATAATTACTTTAATTTTATTTTTATTCTTGGTTTATTTAACAATGCTCTCATTTGCTCAGATTATGTGGTGCTGAATGTTTGGATGATGATTCGAAAGAATGTGGAAGGATGTACTACATTTGCTTGCAGGAATTGTTGGTAACCACAAGAAATTTGTTATTGTAGTTGGTTTATGGATCGAGATTTGAACTTGGGACCTACCAAATATGCAGGAGTGGCACTTTAAACCCTCCTTCAATTTCCAGATTTCTTGGCAATTGAAGATTGACCTTTGTATTCTCCACAAACTGATTTAATAATTTTTGTGGTAACATATTTAACGTCCATTGCGTATTGTGCGGTGTGTTACAGGATGAGGAGGATGAAATCAAACTAGAGATAAATGTGCTGAAGAAATATTCAAATCATAGAAATATAGCAACATACTATGGGGCATTTATCAAGAAAAGTCCGCCAGGGAAGGATGACCAGCTGTGGGTAAGTGATTGTCCGCAGTAGCACCCTGTTTTTCACTAGATATTGTGACATTAAAGTGGGGTTTGTGGCAAACCAAAATTGTTCCCCACCCATAGGATTTGAGGTTTTTACAATAGTGAGTCTGAAGACGGTTGTCTTCTGGGTTGTTGCACCGTGTAGTCTGGTAGAAGTTTACCAACGTTTCGGAGCTCCTTGCTGCCTCCTTCATCAGGTCGTGATGGTGGAGGCAACTAGGACCTCTGAAGCGTCGGTAAACTTCTACCAGACTACACGGTGCAACAACCCAGAAGACAACCATCTTCTCTTCCCCACCCCTCTTAGAATCTCTATGATATGGTGCTGACTGGTACAACTCATGCTAAGACGAAGTTCCAGAAGTTAACGGCCGCACAAAAGTAGCCATACGTAGCTTTCTGTCTCCAGATTTTGAAGAAAGAATATATTATTGCAGGTGGTTTCAGGAATTGGTATTTAAAGGACATTTGATCCAGGCATGATACACTGCAAGTGGTTATGTAACCAGCCAAAATAAGAGGTACTGGAACACAGAAAATCCTCATTCCTTTCGTGAAGTGTCGTTGCTTGATTTAAATGTTAGGGTTTGGTGTGCAGAGGGAATTTCAGCCTATGCCTTCTCACAAGAACATCAAATCCAAATGTTGTATGTGAGATCGATTCTGTCACCCTTCTTCGGTCAACTGGCATTTGACTGACGCAAGGTAGTGCAACAGCACGTACTGTGAGCAATACTGTTATAGCATTAGATGAAGTCTTGATCAAACAAGTCATAAATTGGGGATTGTGGCCCCCGCGATCGCGTGACTTTTATTTGTGGGGCATGCTGAAAGAAAGAAAAAATGTTTCTGAACAGTTCACATTCTTTGGAAGAACTTTGGACAAATAAATGTAAGGCATGAAATTTCTGATATTCCCACACAGCAACTTTGATGTGTGTCCAGAAACATATTTTTGTAACTTAACTCAGTGTGCGCAGAAAACACTTTTGTTATGAAGAGTTGAACTGCGGGGGGGGGGTTTTGTAATTGTTCTGTCAGAATTCTGGGAAATGTTTCTGTTGTGAAGTCAGTGTCTCTCCCAGTAGCAGGTTCATTTACTGAAACTGCCTGCATTTGGAACGTCTCCATTTACTCTCCTGACCACCCCAAGTATTTGACAGCTTGATTGAAACGGTATTACATGACGGAGCCTGTACTTTATTATAGAGTATGCAATGTTTTGAAGTGTGTTTCTTTGTTCCCGATTTTATTTCTTATAATATTTAGTGCTTTGGTTTTGTTTTATTTTTCAGCTCGTTATGGAGTACTGTGGCGCTGGCTCAGTAACAGATCTGGTGAAATGTAAGTTTGTGTATTGGCTCTAAAGCGTGTAGGAATGTTGTTTGAACTGGAATTCATTTGGACACTATCTGGTGTTTACATTTTTAATAACACAAAACGTTAATTAGTGACTCGTAGATTGCGGCATGTTGCAAGGATTGTCATCATTTCAATATTTACCCTTCTCAGGTGACTTTTTTTGTCTGCGAGTTGAATATCCTTTGTTCCAGTTTTATTATAAAAACACACATAAGCTTTTTTTTAGAATTACTAAAACTAGAAGACAAGTGGTGCATCTGAAGTTTTACCTTGCAGATACTTTGTTTATCTGCATGAAATTGTGTGATAAATAACTTCATTAAAAAAATTTTACTGTAAATTTGCACTTGTAAAATAAACGCGTCTCAGTGCACTAACTACTCGATGAAGTTGGTTATGCTTTTTCAACAAATTAAGCACAGCTTTCTTCCATGTTGTCTTGACTGTTGAAAGTTTTATGCATAAGAATATATGTGTTTAGATTGTATATTAAGTTCAGAAGGGAATTTTTAACCGTTCCATTTTGTTAACGTATTGACTATTCACTAAGAAAGACTGGAAGGTGTACTCTGTAATACACCGAAACTCCAAAAGTGTTCTTTATGCCACATCGCACGCGGAGATATCAGCTTTTTGCTGAATTGGTAACCACTGATGAAAGGAACTTTTAACTTATATCATTGTTACTTGAAAGTGATATGCAAAAGTGCTATCAACAGCAGCAGTGATATCCAAGATCACTCTTGTGATAATGCGGTGGTCTGAGGTCATCGTGAGTAAACAGTGCCCTAGTTCTCATAATTTCAGCTGTATATTCCATGAATGATCTCAGTGCAACATTGCATTCAGGTAATGATCCAGTGTTGTGTTCCTTACCTAGTAAGACCTCAACAGACAGACATACATGGATGGGCCACTACACTACAATGTGAGTGAAGAACACCTATTGAGGCACGTCATGTCACTACTGGCACTAACTCTAGCATACATTTACAAGCACAGCTTGTTACAGTTTCTTCAGAAGCTTTGGATTGTGTGATAAAGTTTAAAGCACTTATCTGGACATAAAAATGGCTTTTTACTGTCAGATATGGGACACGTGCCCATATTTTAACACGATGAAGCATTGCGTTGATATCAGGATTGGAAATCGCCAGTCGGTGAATATAGCTCCTTTGGCGGGGACATTTTCCATTTTCTTTAATATTCAATTTAATGTGTGTCTTGCAGGATGGAGTCCAACTTTTTAACTGGTGCTGCTGTCATCTGTCACTGGCATCTGGATCGTTTATTTCAGAATCAGTCACTGGAGCTGAAGTCTGATATATTTTTATTGCCAGTGTCTGAGACACTTCATCTTCATCACATGCTCTCGTCCATACCTTCTTATGTAAATACTCAAAGAAATATAAAATAAAAACGCATCCACTGAAGGAATTTCTGAATATGACTTCCTGCACTCTTAATACTTACATTTTGTCATCTCCGACTGTGTGACATCCTCTGAACATTTGCGTTATTTACCACGTCTTCTCATAGCTTCTTACAATAAAGACTACAGATATTCACTTTACTTCCTGCAGAGAGGGCACTGATCAGCTTCAGATATGTTTGGTTTCCACTTGGGAAGGGTTAATTACACAGAATTTTGAATTTGTATTGCAAATTATGTATAACGTTTCATATTTATTTATTAATATCTGATATTGTTTTGACAGCTACCAAGGGACAGAGTTTAAAAGAAGAGTGGATAGCTTACATCTGTAGAGAAATCCTTCGTGGTCTCAGTTACTTGCACTCCAACAAGGTGATCCATCGAGACATCAAAGGGCAGAATGTGTTGCTCACAGACAATGCTGAGGTCAAACTCGGTGGGTACTTAAAAGTTAATCTGGTGTACACAACTGCTGCCTTAGCATGATCTTACTGATCAACACTTTCTCTTGTGAGTCCTATTGTAAGCTCTTACGTCACCTCCGCATGGAATTCTGGTCATATAAACAGCCTGAATCATCTTAAGGACACGGTTTTTATTATTTAATACTTTTTAAATTAGTTGACAAGTTACGTTCAGAAACAGTCTGGCTTTGCCATAGAATCCACCCTATTAACGTATTGTACGAGGAATGTTAGGCACGTGGTAAGTATCCCAATGTCTGCACGTCAGAGAACGAATGAGTGTGCAAATGTATGTGTGGTTGTGCACATGTGTACTGATGTGCGTATGTGTGTGTTTTCACCATACATTGATTCCACAAAACTTTATTGTTGTATTTTAGATGTAAAGCAAGTACACACCTGTGTGTTTCACTGTAATAACTTTTCAGTCATTTGATTATTTTCATACATCGTATCATTTGACGCCGCTGCGTCGTCATACTTTTGATCTGCCAAACATCGTTGTGGCAGCCATATAATTTCTGGCTTTAAAGACAAACTAGCACCATTTAATGTAAAGTCCTGTAACTATTTTAAGTTCTTAAGCAGCTGTCTTACTGGAGTAATTTCCAAAGGGCCTGGGAGTTGGTCTTATCCATTGCCGCTAAAAGAAAAAGACATGTTACTATTATTACTTTGAATTGTGAGAAGACTTGAACAGACAAATCATGAATGTTAAATATATCTCATAGGAAGAAAAAAGTTCAACATAATCATGCCAAATCAACACAGAATGTCAACACATTTGTTGTTCCTGAAATTGCTTTTGTTTGTAATACAAAGAACTG